TAATTTCTCAGTAATTTAGTGCTTTGGATGCCTGTGGTAGAAAGTTCGTTTGACAGAGTCTTTGTTAAGCTTTAAACCCAAATGCACATCTCGATCAGTAAATGACCCAGTCATCTGGGTATCATAATCATACTGTTTTTCTTCATTATGATTGGATTCTGTACTTAAAAACAAAGTCCATTACTGAGAAGTGCCCTTCCCTGCTTCAATTTTGAAAAATCACATAAATAATCATATCTTCTATTAAACTCTTATAATTTAGCAGTTACCAGATATGATTGTAGTGGTTGGTTGGTATACTGGCATAAATTGATATGCATTTATTTATTTTATAAAAGTATATATTTTTGAAATTTATATTACAAAATACCAGTTATTGGATTAAGAGGAATCACCTCCTAATTTAATAGATTAAAAAGATCTCATAATCTAATAATAAATGGTTTTGCCATCTAAAAGTAGGGTAGGCATGAGTGAGTAATCGAAGGGTTACTCAGAAATTGAACCAAAAAAAAAATGAATTTAGTTTGGTTTTAATATTTTTTGAGTTTTATTATTTTGATTTTGATATTAACTAAATAAATTTTGATTTGGTTTTAATTGAACCTTTCACAAATAAAAAACAAAAAATAAACTTTTTGAAACTAAAATTTGGATAAATATAACAAAATATAATAAAATATAAGATAAAATATAATCTATTATTAAAATAAACTTTTTGAAACTAAAATTTGGATAAATATAATAAAATATAATAAAATATAAGATAAAATATAATCTATTATTAAAATAAAATTGATTAATATTTATTTAGTAAAAATCGAAACCAAACCAATTTTATTGATAATTAAACCAATCGATTTATGAAAATTTTGATTCGATTTCAAAATTGTAAAAAAAAAAATTTAGTTGTTTTAAAACCGATTTTAGTTTCAATAGAAACCGATTTTTGCCCACCCCTATCTAAAAGAGATAATTGTGATAGGAGATTATTCTTAATTAATTCCATCTACTCCTACCTTGTTTTTCACAGAGAAGTTGACTGATTCCATCCATGAACAACACGAGATTAGGCATTTTAGGGGTCCCAGTTTGGTGTTTTATTGAAACCCAATATTTGGGGTTGAATTTCAATTGGACTGTAATTTGAATATCAATATCAGCTACAAAATCTACAACACCTGGTCTGCCTTTATTTGCTAAAGTTTCTAAGGTTGTAGATGGAAATTTCTGGCCTCCTGCTCTCCTCACGACTTGTGCAGATTTAGATAGCTCTCTTCAACCGCTAGACTTAGTCGTTGTAACTATTATATTTGTTAAGGTCATCGATTTATTATAACTTTATCAGTTATATAATAGGTTTTTTTACTTAAACAATTAGTTATGATATTTGAAAATATTTTTTTATAAATTAATTTTAATATGTTAAATAATCAATATTAATTATTTTATTAATTATTAATAAAAAAAAAATTTTTTTAACAGATTTTACAAGGGTTGGGTTCGAACCCCAGCCTAAGGAGGAGAGAATGCACCGTGGGTGGCTTTTGCTACTTCGGGCTCGGTGCTAATTATTAATAAAATAGTTTTATTAGTCTTAACAAATTTAATAGTAAGCATGACCCTCCTGAAAAAAAAAAATAGTAAGCATGACCCTCTTTGACACCTTATATTCAAAAAGTGGGAAGAAAGACAATAGTTATTTAGACTGCCTCTGCTTATGGGATTTTCAAGAGCATGGCATTTACTACTAGTAAAGCAGGTGAAGGTGCCATGGCACAGATTAGTATGGTTTTCTCATACAATCCCAAGCATAATTTCATTGCTGGCTAGCACTCTTGGATAGATTATCAACAAGCAACAGGCAGAGGAAATAGACTCCTAGTATTGATGACGCTTGTGTTGCAAAGTAGGAGCAGAAACAAATTATCATCTGTTCTTAATTTCAGTGCTAGTTTACCAGATAGATATGGCAAGGATCCTTTTATTCTGTTATTGGCAAGGTCTATTGACCTGGGTGTGGAATTGCATCAGGAGGAAGTCCCTATATTGTGTCCTTATTAAACTTGCCTGGAATTCCACAATTTATTATGTCTGGAAGGAGAGTAACAACAGAAACCGTAGGCAACATTTTCAATCTGTTTTACAAGTTGTTAATGAAATTCATTTTGATGCTAAGGTTTTGGGCTTTGCAAAACCAAAGTCTTCCTCCCTGCCTATTTATGTAGCAGCGTGCAGTGGGGTCTAAAGAGATTCTACAGATACTAGTAGTCCTGAAAGTACAATTTTGCTTTAATTGTAGTTGTAATTGATTGTAGCTGCGGCTGCTGCTGCTTGTGTATACATAACAGTTTTTTTTGGATAAAGAAAATTTTACATTTTATCCAAAAAAAGAAAAAAAAAACATCTCTAGATTCCAAAGTTCTTGGGTTCTTATAGCACAAGCACCTAAATTGCTAGCGGAACTACAGACCTATAGAACTGAAAATATTTTCTAACTATTCCGGGATGCTCTCAAGGGCCGAAGTTTTTCCAGCACCAGCAGTCATAAGGTTGTGGTCCACGATGCTAACACGACCAACTGGGATTTCTACCAGCTCCCTCGCCACGTCCTTGAACTCAAGAGTTCCTCCTTCTTTACACTTGGCTAGCAAACGCGCTGCCTCTTGCTTTGTCATCTTCACTTTCACTCTCATCACTGTCGTCCCCTTCTCCTCCACCACGCCGGTCGTCTTATGTTTACTACGGCAATCACCCTTCTTTGGTTTGCCTTTCTCCATGGTTGAAGGCTGTACCTTCTTACTCAACTCATCCCTGTATACGAACCCTTTTGAACAATTGGGTTCTTTGTGTTTCACTGATTGCTCAAATGAAAATCCATGGAAGGAAGAAGCAATAGTTTTCAACATTTTGTGGGAAGGAGAGAACCAAAGAGGGATATATGTGCTTAATTGTGGTATGGGAGGTTCTTGGGGTAGTAAAAGCAGAGTGAGGGTATATATATAGGAATAGGAAGGAAGGACAAACTGTTAATTGATCAGGATTAGGGAGTGTAAAATGGGCAAAAGTGATGACGGAGGGCGTCCATTACACGATTTAGGAGTCTAAGTTTCAATTTTCGAGGGGTTGACGCCAAAAAGCTGAAATTCTTTCATTCTCAGCCAATTAAACTAAGTTTCGTAACATTTACCCTGCAAAATGACAAAACCAACTGAGAAATGATGCTCTTAGACTTGGTCTTGGAGACTGACATGTCCCGATGTAGGCATTCAGGTAAACAATTAACTCGTAATTACGCGCTTTCAACTTGGAAGTCTTGTGACTGATTGGGTTTTTCCTTACCAGGTGGTATGACCAAGTTTACTCAGTCAATCCCCTTTACTGTTTCTAAAATAATGTATTTATATTATAATATTATGTAATATTATAAATTTATTTAATATATTATAGGCATTTACTAATTAAGTGGTGGTTTATAATTATAAATTTATAATTTTAAATAATATTAAAACTGTATCATTACTGTTATTGTTTATGGTGTTACGAACTTACTTCAATGTTTTCAAATTTCCATTGAATATATGAGGCTTTCCTAGCACTATAATTTTGGTTTTTTTTTTTTTTAATATCCTCTGTATCAGGTTTAGTTTTGTGTTATTAAACTGTTGATCTCTTTATATATGTATATATTTGCCATGACTTAAAATTTTTAAAGGTTTTTTCTAATGTATAAAATTACAGTCAAATCTAGAGTTTTAAGTATTAAATTTTTCTTAAATTGACTTGGGAAGTACACCTTCAAAATCTTAAGGCCAAATCTTATATTAAATCCCTAAACTTACTCCAGATTCTTGATTAAGTTTATAAATTTTTATTGAAACAAATAAGATTCTAAATTTAGTAATTTAAAGAATTTAATTCTCTTTTTTTTTAATGGCATATTTAATATTATTTAGTGCCTTACTTGTATAGATAAAGTATTGACATATCGTTATTTATATATGTATATATTTGCCATAACTTAAAACTTTTAAAGGTTTTTTTTAATGTATAAAATTACAGTCAAACCTAGAGTTTTAAGTATTAATTTTTTCTTAAATTGACTTGAAAGTACACCCTCAAAATCTTAAAGCCAAATCTTATATTAAATCCTTGAACTTACTCTAGATTCTTGATTAAGTTTATAAATTTTTATTGAAACAAAAAAGATTCTGAATGTAGTAATTTAAACATTTAATTCTCTTTTTTTATGACATATTTAATGCTATTTAATGTCTTACTTGTATAGATAAAGTATTGATGTATCGTTATTTATGTAATAGGTATTGATTTTGTCCATAAAAGTATATGACGTAAATAGGTCTTAAGTTTTAGAGATTTAATTGCTTCAATAAAAATTAAAGGACTTAATCAAGATTTGGGGTAAGTTTGAGGGGCTTAGCCTTAAAATAAGCGTAAATTGGTTGAAGAACAGCTTCCCTCCACAAAAAACAGTAAACAAAGAAGTTACGGTTTCATTGAGAAAACTAATATCTTAAGCCATATAAAGACGCTTAAAATTAATGGAGAGGGGATCCCGGCGTGCCCCACGCTTGAGGAGTAGTGGGTCGATCTTAAAGTATTATAGATTGC